CGGTTTTTATTGCTAGTCTAATTAATCACGCTCTGGCTATTTTTGAGATAAGAATATGCCTATATGTTAATCGGGAATGTGAGCTATCATCATGCCAAATTTCAGCCCAATCTGTCCAGTAGTTAATGCGTGATTGAACTTCAAAAAAACAAACAAACAAATAAACAAACAAACATACAAACTTTCACATTTATAATATTAGTAAGATATATAGTTGAATTCTAACATTTCTGAGTAATTTACATCAGAATGTAAAATTTTGAAGATTTTTTATGGAAAACAGGAAACATAATTTTTATGACATTTTCAAAACCAAATACAATTTTTACAATCAACCTTCAAAGGGAATTGTAGGGAATTTATTTTAGTTTCAGAGTGAAGAAGTAGGTTCTTCTTTAACTATTTTTGTTACTTTTATGATAAAATTATTCAAGAAACTGGTAGAAAATAGAATTTAATAAGCATGATAAAAACATAAGTGTATGAATTATAAAAACCAGGAATGAACTCATTTGGTAACTATGGAAACTTTAGAGTAAACAAAAACAAAATTTAAACTATTAAAAAAAAACAAATCATTGTCCAGCTGGTTGTGAACAGTCAGGTGCACTCACCACACAGAGTATATAATAATATTGTATAGAATTTAATTGTCAATCGCCAAAAACAGCTGTTTTTGTAGTCAGGTGACCAAAACTTTCCACCGCCAAAATCTATTTTGAACCCTCTAGTTTTTCAAACTACGTTTCTCGCTATATAATACTCGCTCAATAATGTTTAACACATAAAAGTGAATCCTCTAAATCTCATCTTTCTAATGGTCTAAGATTCATTGTGATTTAAACCGGTTTTCATAATTTAATAATAGAAAAACACGACCCATGTCGTCTTGGTCGATAATCGACCAGCGCCACTGAGGACTCGCGTTTTAGTGGTCGATAATCAACCAACGCCAGATTTAGGGTTAATATGCTTCAACGTGGACGTACGTTTGTGCTGATCGGCAACTAGGACAACCACTGTTTAGCCTGGCATCTGACGTGCCACAACAATGCAAAATTATTGACTCCTGCCGACTCTTAAGCAAGATCATAAAAATGTATCTTATTAGCGAATTTCCCATATGGGGAATAAGCTATAACCGTAGTGTTTATGTGGTTGCACTGATGGCTGAGTAGATGGTAATGAAATTAATTTAATGAGTTAACAGTTATTTGTGGAAATTTCAAATGAAAACACTGGGTTCACTGGTTATGCTGAATTTAATGTTAAAACACTGAAAAAATACAGAGATGATGTTGAAAGTTGAGAATACACAATGAGTTTGAATAAATTGAAAAACGCGTAACAAATACGATTTTAGCGGACTGTATAGGCCTAAATAAGTGATTTACTAGAAAAATGCTAACGGAGGACGCTGTGTGCGTCCCTGCCGCATGAGTTTCGTTTAAACACTGACTCTTACCCTCATCAAACATCCCCAAGCCCAGACGTGGGAAGGGAAGGGGTTTGTAGAAAGTTACGTACAATTTGGCAGGAGCTCTAAACATACTCCCCTCCGTTGAACCTTTGAGAAAAACTTCAACAAATTATGAAATATTTATAACTAAACCATCAAAATAAAAAGTTTGAAATTATACATTTTTAAAACAAATATATGAAAACATATACCGAGTGGTTTTAAATAGATTGTTGTATGAACATACATGGTTAAAAATAATCAGAATACAACTTATATGTATATATTGTATATAATATACAACTTATAAAGTGTAAACAAACAAACAAAAATGCAAATGCTGATTTACACTCTTGTTCTTTATACAAAGGTCACCTGTCACACGGTAGCGGACAAAGTTTTTTTTATGGCCCGCTTGTAAATCTGATGACGACGTCTTTATTGTCGCCACCCTCGATCTTCCGTCAGTACCCGGATGAGTGTCTACGATGATTGCTGTCACCCACTTCAATGGAGGAAGTGTGTCATCCTTGACTACAACAACTTGTCCAGGTTGAAGACTGTGGTTGCTATCCGCTGCCCACTTGTTGCGTTGTTGGAGCAGCGACAGGTATTCAATGGACCAGCGGCCCCAAAAGTGCTGGAGGATCTGCTGCGTCCGTTGCCACTGTGATAGTCGATTGACCTTCAAGTGACTGAGGTCTGGTTCTGGGAGTGCAGTGAGTGCCTCCCCAGTAAGGAAATGACCAGGTGTTAGAGGGGTTGGATCTAACGGGTTATCAGGTAAGGGTGTAAGGGGGCGTGATTTAAGGCAAGCTTCTACTATTGTTATTACCGTGTATAGCTGTTCATAGGTTAAATTAGCATTCCTTACAACTCATTTCAGGTGATGCTTTACAGATTTGACACCTGCTTCCCATAATCCTCCAAAGTGGGGCGAGTTGGGTGGTATGAAGTGCCAATTGATGTTGTGGATGGAAGATTAATTTTTTATTTTGTCCTGGTGAGATTGATCTTGGAGTAATCTACGTACGTAGTTCTTGTATTTCTCAGTATGCTGTACAAAGTTGGTTCCATTGTCCGAATAAATGTCCTTGCAAATTGCTCTTCTTGAAATAAATCTGTGTAACACAAGTGCAAAGTGCCACTTTGCACACTAGTTACACAAATAACTGTTGTCAATGACTCAGCTGTTTATTGTATCTCTAAATTGATTCTTACTCAATAATTTCTAGTTGAAGGGCACATTGTACATCCTCAGCACAACATACAATGGATTTTTTTTCACACAAAAGTTAATTTTCCACAAAGCAATAACACAGCCAATGAGTAGGGGTCTGCGGGTCCCCGATTTTTTCGGGTCGGGTCGGGCCAGCGGAAGGCCTGAGAGACCGGGTCGGGTCAGAGATTTTTTCGAGCCAAGATCGGGTCGGGCCAAAAAAAAAAATTATTATTTTCAAAGTTATAATAAGTAATTTTCAAAGAAACACTCTTATATATATTATTACAGAGGAATTAAAACGTTAAAATTATAATTAAATATTAAGTTTGCTCACGTTTAAGAACAAAGACACAACAGAGCAAACGCCGTACTGTCACTAGCCAGAGCCAGTCGTCTACTGACAAAACAAAAGCCGTGACGCAACAGTGCAAAGAAAACGAAGTCAAAAGAAAGACTATTTATCCAGAGGTACCAGTTTAATTATTTATTGTTTATTCCATACCTAGTTTAAAATATATTTTAGTATTTTATTTACATAATAAATTATAAACAAAAGAAATATCTGATATAGTGTACAGATCTGTATCTTGTTCTTTTATTTTCCTGTGTCCTTTTTGTCATTCAGTAACAAAACAAAACAACACTTCTGATCGTCTGGTTCGGCATTGTATGGTCACCATTCAATTTTTTTTTTAAGTATCAAGTATCAGCAAGTCTACAAAGAGGTTAGGCCTAAATATTTTATAAATTTATGAAAGTTTTTATCAGTAAAATTATTTTTTTCTTAAGTTAGATTGGGTTTCAAAAAAGATATTTCTAAGATCCAATACAATATTTACAAGACACAAACTACCATGAATTAATTTCTTTGGAAATTATCTGTAACAGTTTTATATTTTTGAATAAAGAAAATATATCTTTTTGTCTCTACTTCCTTGTTTTGTTACTTGCATTTTGTCAGCAATTGGAACAATCGGGTGGTGTAATAGGGGTGGGGGAGGGGGAGGGTCTATGACCTTGAGTGTCCCCGGGCCTGGCTCTGGTTGTGTAAGAGGGGCGGGGAGGGGAGGGGGAGGGTCTGTAACCTTGAGTGTCCCCGGGCCCGGCTGTGAGAGTGATTCATGGTTTTTTGTTTACATTCTACTACCCTTCCCCCTTCCTTCCAAGAAAAAGACCCTCTACAGTTTCAAAAACATCGACTTACAGTATAAAAACATTGAGTTGTGTTGCTAATTAGGACACTATAATGTCTCTGCTGTCTGCTTATGTTGCCAAATTAGCATTTAACTTTCTTTTCTCTTGATTTAATATAATTTTCTATATATTAAGAGTTCCTTTTCAGGTACTTAATAATTGTGATATTGTTTGACTTGAGTTTATGGATTTTTTAATTCTTTTCATTTATTAGCTAAAATCAGTTGTTTTAGGATTTTAATCTCTTGCAATACCGTAGGTCTATAACTGTGTATGACATGATATATGCAATTTTTACAGTCTTTACTATAACTAACTATACCATAAACAATGTATGTGTGTTATTTACTGTTTTAGAGTTTTTAAAGTGAATTAGTTTACACACAATCTTTTCTTCAATGAGTTCTCCACTTGTCATGTTGCTTAGTCTATTACTATTTTAGGCCCTATAAAAAATAATTCCTATGTAAAGCTGTAGGCCTAGTAATGCCAATAATAAATAATTCTTTATTTATGATGATGTAACTAATAATGCTATTGTAAGTGTGAGGTTTTTATACTTAGGAGGTTAGGAGGCAGGGAATGAATGATTCATATTGCATGGTGGAAACATAGAATTTTTATTTTCTTCTTGCTTGCAGTCTTTAAGCCAGTCCACAGGCCCTAAACTTGAGATAAGGTTAATTGATTTGTTTATGATCCTTTTATATTAAGTTCCATTACAAACTTGTTGTAATATAGCTGTTTAGATATTTCAACAGTTATGAAAATGGGAAAGAATGGTTTGATAAAAAAAATTATTTTCTTCTTTCTTGCAGTTGAGGCAACTCCTAAGCTGTAAATAAGTTATGAACATGAAATAATATACATAAATACAATCGTTTTTCATATGTTATTTTTAAGTAATATTATAAACACAGATAGGAGTTAAAAAAAGAAAAAAAATCTGGTAATTAATAATTTTTGGCCCGACCCGATTTTGGCCCGAAACCCGAGGACCAAAATTATCGGCCCGACCCGACCCGACCCGAACCAAAAAAGTCTGACCCGCAGACCCCTACCAATGAGAAATGTATATTGATGCTATATAGTATGACCTCAGAATTGAATGATAAAAATTGTTACCTTAGTTTGACGTGAAGGTGGAAAAGCCCCATCAGGTGACAGTTTGTCTCCAAGGCTGATGTTGCTTGCACCAAACACAACTGAGTCCCATGTGTCTTCACTCTGAAACACAAAACAAGATAAGAAAGTTATATATATTAAGGTACAAACTTATTTAAAGGAAATGTTCACAATGTATCCTAAAACAATATAAACTTCCCGTAATCAACAATATTAACTTCAAACAAGGAGTAACTATATTAAATTTACTATCCAAAATATACTTTTATTTTTAATATTTTACTTTTTCCATAAACATATCCTGGTTAAAATGTTGTTGGTAACTATAGTTCAAATTCGAATGATATATTAGGCTTCTTTAAAATGTAGATAGTTTAATTTAGTTATTATTCTGAAATACTAGGTTCGTGATGCTATTAATATAATAATGTTAATGTCCAAAGAAAGATTCCAAATGATTTCACTGAATTTAATGAAATAAAATAGAATTTGAAGATTAAATTTTGAATAAAAGTTCAATTTGAAATATGTATATCTTGATGAGTTAAGTTAATTGGGCCTATTAGGCTATGCTGATTAAATGTCCAATGAAGATTAAATTTGTCCTTAGTCAAATAAGATGGATGATGGTTACCAAATTTGGAGTGTCTGTCTTCTTAAAATTTGGTACTCTTTAAGGCACTTGTCCCGAATACATTTGGATGATAAGAAATTTAAAATTTAGATTATACTTTGGGATTATGAATTTAATTTAAATCAAACACAATGTCCAATAAAATGATGTTCACACTGTGAAGAGTTGGCAGGATCTGGGCAGAGGCAATGGTAGAAGCTCAGGAAGTCCATGTCCATTGTTGAAATGATGTACAGCTGGTTAATTTACATAAATGACACTTGCCACAGTAATTTTAAGGAGAAACATATTAAATAACTGATAATACATAATCAGGGGCATAACAGACATTATGGGAGAAAATATACAAAATAATAGATAAATTAATGTTAATGATGAATGAATGACATGTAATATTACAAATTATCCCCACAGAAATCTGTATGCTATGAAATGAAATACAGATTTCGACAAAATATGAAATGGAATCATGAATCATTAATATGAATGATACTTAAAGACAGGTATGAATAACATTAAATGATTGATTTTCTGGATGATAGAACATTGGGTGATAATACAACAAAATTATAATCTAAGTTAACAAATGTGTAGGACAATAACATTAAAATGGGGAAAATAGAATAGAGTGTTCATGGCCTGGCATGGGAAGAAAGGGATATTATGGATGTTGTTCCATACTGTTCAATATGAAATAACTTTATTGTTTCTTTGTTATTAAGGAGATCACAGTTTATTAGTAAGTGAGTATTGTCTATAAACTTTATCACCTGGGTATCAGTTTATGGAAAACACAATTTAAGGGGTCACGCACTCGCGATTAAGGTCCATGGCACAATTTGGTTGGAGATGATGATGCACAAAAGTCTATTGATGGATGAAATACATGATGAATTTTATTGATATAGAATGTCTTCAAAGGTAGGGTCATCATTATCTATCTCGTCGATCACAGCTTCTATTGCTCGGGTTGGTTCCAAATATTTCTTGAGGGCTGATATATGGTAGGGGCCGTATAAAACATCTTCATCTTCTTTAGCTGGTATTTATTTAATAAACTGCTTAATGTTTCACGTTCTTCTGCGGTTATGTGCGTATTTGTTGCTAGGGAATTATCTATTTCTTCTTGGGTTAATGTTTCATCTTCGATTGGATCTGTTTTTCTATTTTTGAAGTTATTTATTGTGCTATTAAATTTATTATATATTGGATCATCGTGATATACATCAAACGTTTCATCATTAAAATATTCATTATTTGGCCTATGGCTATCATTAATTATTAAGTGACATATTTGTCCCTCTTGGTTGCACATACAAAACTTCAAAGTAACATTGTGATTATTTATCTGCATGTCTATTTCATTTGTGTTGAAATTCAGATCCATTTTAAGATTAGACAAAACATCTACTCCTAGTATTATAGGTTTTATTAGATTTGGTACAATAAGATATTCCAATGGCAAGGTGTGTTCTGCAATTGTGGTGGGAACGTAAATAATTCGAGAGACTCGTTTAGATCGCTCATTTGTAGCAGTTTTGATTACTGTGTTATTAACTGGAAATTCTTCAAATGGTGAAATTTTGGATTTATTTTCACTGAACCAGGATTCTGATATACAAGTTACTGATGAACCAGTGTCGACTAATGCGTTTACTCTAATATTACTAAGTTTGATGCTAATTTCTGGGCAACTTATTTGAGTGAAATTTAGAGATTGATTATTTTCTGAATCATTTTCTAATAAGAAGTTCTTATCACACATTATACTTTGTGATTGAAGATGATTTATTTCATTACCGAGACTTTCATGAATAGGCGCTGTAATTTTAGAGTTAACTAATGATAATTGACCCTCTCGGTTGTCGCTTACAGCGCCGAACCGTTTTCCTGTATATTTGGTGCAGGATGAGTCTGTGGCTCGTAACTGTGTGATGATTGGTTGTTTGGATGAGCACTTGGCACGTAGTTATTTTGTCTCATTACTGCGCAAAGCTGAGCTTGTTCTTGGGTTGGGTGGTTTCTGTAGGTCCGTTGGTTGTTGTCACCGTTACGTGGAGGATATTTGTCTCGTTGATATGGTTTGTTTTCATGGTTTCGGTCGTAAGTAGGATGATTGTGGTTAGGACGGTAATTTTGATGGTTTGGATAACTTCTGTATTGGTGATTGTTGTTGTATGGATTGTTGTGATATGAAGGTATCTTGGGTTGGTATGCTCTCTGATTCTCGTAGCGGCCGTTTTGATGATAGGTGTGTGGTTGTTGATTTGGAGTTGTCGGTCGGTTGTTGGATGAGCTGTTGTGATTCTGGTTGTTGGTGCGTGTCTTATTTGGTCCGTCTTTGAGATCTTCATGTTGTAGAAGTCTTTCTAAGGCACGTACGGTGGTGATGTTTTGTACATTGATGCAGTCTTGTATGATGGAGTCAAATCTCTCTGCCATCAGTGTCACGATTTCTTCTTCGGTCAGGCAAGGGCTCATAGATTGGAGTGAAATTACACGTTCTGTAAGGTATTCGCTGCGGCTGAGGGTACCATTTGACCGGTATTTTTCTGATTCAATTTTGGCTCTTAAGCTGCGTTGTACTTCTCTTGACCAGTATTTAGCTTCGAATTTGTTGGAAAATTGTTTCCAGGAACTTAAGTCGGTCTTAACGAGTTGTAGCCATCTTGAGGCGGGACCTTCGAATGAAGTCTCTAGCAGGTCTTTGAGATATTCAATCGGGTCATAATTATTGTTTCGCTCAAGTCCTCTGTCGTAATATCTTTTCAATTTATTAAGATATTCTTTTGGGTTGCCACTTGGGCCGTTGAATTTTGGTAGTTGTCGGTCTTTCTCTTCATTTCCATTGCATATAATTTTGATTGGGTCTTGGAAGTTTTCAAATGTTTTGCTCTGTTTGAGGGTTTCCACTTCTTGTTCACATTTTATTAGATTTTGATTTAAATTTTGTATTTCAGCTTGCTGAGATTCTGAAGTTTTGTTTTGGATGGTGAGTTTTGGGAGAATTTCGTTTTGTATGATGGCCAAATTAGCTTTAGAATTCTGTTCGGATTCTTGCCTGGTTTGTTGAGAAAATGCCTGGTATTAATTTTTAAGTAGAGTTAGCAAATTGACCAAAGTAGGCCTACTGTTGGATTTTGTTAGTTTATGAGGTTTAATCACTTCCATTATTCTAAATGACAGGAATTTTTCTTCAGAATAAGATTATTCAATTGTAATATTTAAAATATGTATTGTAACATGTCTAATTTTGTCTAGTTAACTATAGCTTCGGCTCCCTCTAATTACACAAGACCAACTCCACAATTACAACCAGCGCTCTGCAAGGAATGTTGATGTTCCGAGGTGTAGGCTCTCAAAGACCAAAGACTGCTTTCCAGTATTGGCACATAAGCTCTACAATAGATTGCCCCTCGACATTAAAGAACTCCTTCTTGAACCTTTTAGAGTTAAATTAAAACAAAGGCTGAGTAGGAAGTGTTTCTATTCCATCGAGGTATATTTTACTACTGCAATGGACTTTTGAGTATGAATCCATCCCCCATGGAGTGTAAATACGGGGTGGCCCAAAAAAACAGGGACAATTTAAAAAAGTTATTACTCAGCTGTTATAAAGGCTGGAGAGTTCATTGATGCGGCAAATTAATGTTTATTTGATGCCATTTAGTGTATAGTTACTAGTATGGATCATCAATGGTTACCGCAACATTGTTCCTTTGTCCTAGAGACTTTTTTGAAGAATAATTTGTTCATTCATCATCTCATTCATCATTTTTACTCAATGTCAATTTCGAGTTCACTTAACGTTGGCGGTAATGGTGCAACCCCAAACCGAAAAACTATTCAAAGTTGGGTAAGTAATTTCCAGAACATGGCTTCTGCACTCTAAATCAAACCTGTGGGAGTTCTCGGACTGTTTGAACGCCGGAAACATTGAAATGGTTCGCACGAGTGTGCTGCGTGCTAAGTTGAGCGTCATTAGTCATCCGTTTTCAGAACATTGCATTTAAATTTAAATTTGCATAGGTTTAATTTTGAGTACAGAAGCCATGTTCAGGAAATTGCTTACCCATCTTTGAGTAGTTTTCGGTTTGGGGTTGCACCATTACGGCCAACGTTGAAGTGAACACAAAACTGACGTTGAGTGGAAATGATAGACACATTATTCTTTAAAAAGGTCTCTATGACAAAGGCACAATGTTGCGGCAACCATTGATGATCCATAGTAACGATACACCAAATGGCATCAAATAAACATTAATTTACCGCAACAAGAACTCTTCAGCTGCTATAACAGCTGAGTAATAACATTTTAAAATTGTCCCTGTTTTTTTGGGTCACCCCGTATTACATTCAAATTCAAAGGACAATAAACACATTTCATTTCACTTATTCCAAATCGGATCCATCAAAACTGGATCCAGCCCATTGGGCAAGTACACACGGCACAGTTGGTAACACTAACTTCTTAAATTTTGGATGATGGAACTCTGATTACCTCTTCAACTTCTGGTTCTTCTTCTAGACTACCCCACTCCTCAGTATCCCAGCCATCAGTGCCTCGCACTTCAGAGTGGCTTCCCCCCGACTTGCCAGCCTACAGAACAACAGTGTTTAAAAACATATTACCACCTTCTCTGAACTGACTCTCCTAGGTCAGATAACCTCAAAAGGGGAACTGTATAAACATGTATAACACTGTAGGGAAAAATATATTATTGATATTACATGAATGACAAACTCAGAGATGCTAAATACTCAATTTTACAGTTTTCTTATGGCCTTACAAACATATACTAAAGTAACAAAATTAAAGTATGCCAAGTATTTTTTTAGTGCCTAAGCCAGTGAAGTATTTTACTGAAGCAATACAAACACTTTTGAAAGGGTTGCTAGCCTAATGTTAGCACCTCAAACTTTGGTTTTTGAAAGGGTCGGATTTGTTTCCTGACACATCCAAAAACTTATGCTGGGTTTGGATTGCTTTCCCCTTTGTTTGTATTATCATCTTTCAAAAAGCTACTAGTGTAGACACAAAAAACAACTATTTTTTCTAGTCTGATGTTTTGTATGACAGTTTGTTACCTCCATGTCTCCCCAGTTGTCAGTGTCCCAGTGTTCCTCGTAGTCAGACACACTCTCTCCTCCCTTGCTAACCTCCTGCTCCAGGGACGTCATAGAAGTAACACTCGACGTTGTTGTTGATATACTGCTGCTGCTTGGCTGCTCTAGAAAACCAGACTGTGTGTCATTTCACTTTAGACTATATGAAACAAAACATACTGAGAATTGTGTTATGATAAATTTTGTGAATCTATTTATACTAGTGTCCCTGTTGCTCAAATTCGAGCAATTGTTAAGTATTACAGGTGTTTAACAGTCATAAATTCTGATGACTTTAAAAGAATCGACTCAAAGATTATGGAAATACTCAAGATGTACATAATAGATCAATATAATCAACATTTCTTGTAAATATCTTATCATTTTTCAAAAGCTGGTCTAGTTTTTAGTGTTTTCTACAAATACCCTACTCATAGCCACATTAGGTAGTCCATAATAACGGTTATGGATAAAAAAAACATTTTTTTTTCTATTTCTTATCCTTGCCTTGGTGGTGTTCTATGACTTTCCTATGTTTCCATAGTTTGCAAATCGGCTCTTTCAATGATTACTAAGAAATGCAGCACAGTGTTATTTCAGATTTCTTTTTAGTATATCAAATTGTACAGGCTCTCTCGCTTTTTTCCATTGTAATATTTACGCCAACCGAAATTCAAATAGTAAATATTTCATTTCAACCAAGTCAGTAAATGTTTGTAGCAAACTGTAAAGTTAGCAAACTTATTGACTGATTGCAATTAACATATGTTCTTCTTCTCACTTTTAATTTCTGACAACAGCTGGAGTTTCATAACAATTTTTGTTTTCCATTTTAATCTTATGGGAAAATATGAAACTTTAAAGGGCTCCAGGGCCTCACTCTCTAATTATTTCCCTAAAAAGGAAGCTAAAAATGATTAAGACAATGGTTATTAAAAGTAATTTTGAACTGCCATTTTGTTATTAATGGTCCGATTTCTATTTTATTTATGTTAATTGTTATGTTTTGTCAAGACCTGCAAAATTATACCAAACTTGACTATACACTTGCAATTTGAAAATTTTGAGCTACCCCCTATCCCCGTTACCCCTAAGGGCAAAATTTTCAAAACTGACCAAAATTATTGTAGCCCTTCATATCCAAACAAGTTGCTGCATACCGATTTCAAATGTCTCAAATACAAGTAGTTAAAAAAAGTTAAAGGGGGTGCAAGTTAATTTTCAGCCACCCTCATGGTTATTTGGATTTGAAACGTTTTAGGGCGCCATTTTTTTATTAGTGGGCCGATTTTGGTTTTCTTTATGTCAATTTTTATGTTTTGTCAAGAACTGTAAAATTATACCAAACTAGACTATACTTGTCATTTGAAAATTATGAGCTACCCCCTACCTCCACTACTAAGGTTAAAATTTTCTAAATTTACTATAATATTGTAGCCCCTCATATCTATGAAGGTTGCCGCAAAAAGATTTAAAATACTCAAATGGTTGAAAAGTTAAGGGGGGGGGTGTAAGTTACTTTTCAGCCACCCTGTATAGATAATCTATACTACATTAAGCCGTTTTTTGTGAACACTACTCCTCCCTTATTTGTGGACCAATTTCAACATTTGAGGTGTCAAAATATTTGTCTCAATTTGTAGTTTTGCAATAAGGTTTTAGAATTTAAAAATTCTTACCCTGAAGGGCTCGAGGTCCTCTTAATGACAATTTTTTCCCGATAAGAATTACATAAAACAAATACTCCCGCCGCAGCAAACCTGCAGACTAAGCAAATTTCCTTTACATGATTGGATTTTGAATTATGTAAATCTATTTTTAGTAAAATATTAATAGCTTAGTATAAAATAAATTTTTCAAGTTTGATAAAAATATATCCATAAATAAAATAAATAAATAAATCTTTATTGTCACATAACGTTTACAAAATATAGCAATGCTATAAAACAGGTGACATTGTCAATACAGTATACAAATACCTTAAAACTAAGGAGTTATAAAAGAATAAAATAAACTAACGCTATGAAAATAGAAATAATTGTTGTAGACAAAATAGATAAACTTAAACATTGCATTTAAAATACCAAATAATTACACATCTTGATCACATAAATACTCATCTATCCCTCCGAGTGTCCATAGTTTAGGCCTTAATGTCCACCTATTTTTGGCCCCTTTGCAAGGTTTTATTAAAACGGATCTGAGAAGCTTAAAACAATGTTAATTCTAATGTTCTATATACCATTTTGTTTGGAAAATCATGGGCTTCAATATTATATATAAAACATAAGGAACATTTTTTCAAAAAAAAATTTTTAGGTAAAAAAAAATATAATTTCAAAAATTTTCAAAAAAAAAATAAGTTCGCGCTCAATGAAATTGTATAAATTATAGGCCTATAAATATTTGAAAATAGCCACTTTGTTCTAAATTTAATGAGGATTACAAATATATAATCATATAGCGAGGTAAGTTATCAAATAAATAAGTTATGAGCGAAAAACGGATTTCAGTACATAGAGTTTAGCTAAGAATGCATAGCCTAACCATAGCTAGGAATGTGGCTGATAATTTACATCAATATCACTACCTACTTCTTCAGGATCATCAACCAGCACTTCAAAACCACTTAAATCTTCTTATAATGCACCACGTATATCACTACTTTTGATTTTTAACACTAAAACAATGATAAACGTAATAAAACACATCAGTCATCGGTCCGGGGGAACCTAGCTGTTTACAAATACACGCACGTCAGCTGTCTGCTACAATATTTTCGGAACTAAAATGAATAGCGCTTAGAGACAGACCTCTGGAGAAAGCTTAGAATATTACGGAAAGAACGATACCTAACTCGATCCAGTTCAATCCGATTCAGTCAGTCATAGAGCCTTCGCCGTAAACGATGTTTGTGCGTCTTAAAAGCGACGCGTGACCCTACACAAAGTGTGTTGTGCGTCGTTTTTATGACGCGTGACACTCGGAGGGCTATACTATAATATGTTTTCCTTAAAAGAAAATTAGTAAGGCTGCTCTTGAAATGCTTAGACTGTATTTTGTTTTTGAGCTCTTGAGACAATTTATTAAAAAACTTTTTGCCCATGTACGTCGGAGTTTTTTCTACTAATGAAAGACGGTGCCGCGGATATTGAAAATTAAATTTAAACCTAGTATCGTACTTATGCTTGACATTTTCACTAGATAATTTTACAAAATTTCCCTCCACCATCAAAAGTGTTTTAAAAATGGTTAAACTCGGAACAGTCATTATCCCTAATTCTTTAAAAATAGGTTTACATGATGTTCTCCAAGGAGCAAATATCATTATTCTTAAAAACCTTTTCTGTATCTTAAAAATTAAATCAATGTTTGATGCAAAGCCCCAGAATTCAATTCCATATTGAAGAATTGAATAGAAGTATGCATAATATAACATCAAACGAGTTTTTAAGTCAATTGTGTTTCTTAAACATATCATTTGATAACATGCCGAATTCAGTCTACTAATCAAATTTTCAATGCTTTTGTTCCAATTTAAATTTGAGTCTACGTACAATCCGAGAAATTTTGCATCATCTTGAACACATAAATTTTGGTCACTAAACTCTCTTGCCTGAGCAGTACAAAACTTTACCAATTGGGTTTTATCTTGATTCATTTTTAAACCGTTAATATTGAACCACCGTTCCAATTCCGATAGGGCTTGTTTAACTTTGAGAGATAGTTCTGAATCATTTTTAGATTTGACAACTGCAGTTGTATCGTCGGCATATAAAACAAGGTTGTTGGAAACATTTTTAGGCAAGTCATTTATATATAAAATAAAGAGTAAAGGTCCGAGAATTGACCCTTGGGGAACACCAACTGTAATTTTTTCCCATTCTGATATTGATTTTTCATTATTTAAAAAAATTACTGTTCTTTGAAATCGATTTGTCAAGTATGAAGTCAACCATAAAACAGATTCTTTTGAAAAGTTATAAATTTTTAGCTTTTTTAAAAGTATATCATGGTTGACACAGTCAAATGCCTTGGATAGGTCACAAAACACTCCCATTGTGCTCTGTGACCCATCCAAAGCCCATGAAACCTCACTAATAAAATCTGATAAAGCTTTCATTGTGCTTAAGCGCTTTCTGAAACCAAATTGTTCATTAGCCAAGATATTGTTATTCTCGAGAAAGTTTGAGATTTGTTTGGATGCTAATTTTTCAAACACTTTTGAAAATGATGGTAAAAGGGAAACTGGTCGATAATTGTCCGGATTTTGTCTCTCGCCCTTCTTGAAGAGAGGTTTGAGCTCTGCATATTTTAAATGGTCTGGAAAAGTTTTTTTTTAAAGACTGATTAATAATTATAGATAAAGGTTCAGCTATGAAATTAGAGACAGTTTTCATCAGATCGATAGGAATACCGTCCCAGCCCGCAGATTTTTTACTTTTGAGAGATTTTATATTATTAATAACTTCTTCTGTACTTACAAAACTAAATTCAAATTGGTTAGGTTGATTTCCTGCCAATGAATGCCTTGTCATTTTTAGTGCATCCTCTTCATGAGGTATTATGCCAATTTCTTTTGTGATATTTTTAAATTTTTTATTAAAGAATTCAGAAATTTCCTTGCCATTTTTTAGATGATTGTCATTAACCTTAATATCAGGAAAGTTTAAGTCACTTTTTTTACAACCGAGTTCAGATTTAATGATAAGCCAAGCAGCCTTACTCTTGTTACATGATTCTTTTATGATTTTACCATTATACAATTTTTTAGCTTCATTGCATACCTTGTTGAAAGTTAACTTATACCTTTTAACATAATTAATGAAATTATTATCATTTGATTTCTTTACTAGTCTGCTTAGTTCCCTTTTTCTAATACTAGATATTTTAATACCGGTTGTTATCCAAGACTTTTTTTTATTATGCGCTTTGGTATGATAAAACTTCATAGGAAATGCCTCTTCAAATAAATTTTGAAAAGTGCCAAAGAAATTTAAACAGTTATTTTCAAAAGAATTGTTTACAGATACATTCCAGAGAGTTTCTTTCACATTATATATAAATTTTGCTGTATTTTCTTCTGAGAAAATTCTTTTTTTACATTTGTTACCATTTATTATATTTTTATCAGTTTTACTAAATATATTTAAAAATAATGCTCTGTGATCAGAGATCCCTAATTCTAAATTCATTGTTGTTGATACAGACAGATGATGATTAATTTTTGGTGATAAAATATTATCAATGCAGGATTTTGTGGACTTGGTAATTCTTGTTGGAGAGGAAAAATTTATTTTAAAACCATATTGCTCCAAAATAGAAATGAACTCTAACTTTTTCTGTGGGTGGCTAGAAGTATCCAGTACATCAACATTAAAGTCAGCCGCAATATATACATTTTTAATACATGTAGCTTTAACCAGAAGTTTTAATAACCCTTCCAACTTTCTAAGAAAATGTTTAAAGTTATCAACATTTGGTGTTCTGTAAATAGCAACAACAATAATATTTAGAGTAACAATTTCAATACAAGAAATTTCAAAAACATAATCTTCGTTTAAGGCACATAAATCGTTTCTTACTTTATATACTAAATTTTCTCTTAATAGTATGCAAGAACCACCACGAATTCCTTCCTTCCTGCAATAAAAGTGTCCTAAAGTATAGTTAGGAATACTATTCAAGATTAAAATATTATCATTTTTTAGCCAGTGCTCGTTCAAGCAAACCACTGAAATGTTAGAATCAGATAGTATTATTTCTAAATCATTCTTTTTGTTTACTATGCCACCTTCAATATTCAAATGCATTAACCAATTAAATTTATTATCAGTTTTGGCTGCACTACAAACTGGCCATGAAAAATTAGTATTGTGTACTGAGTCATTTGAAAAGAAAGAAATATGATGGTTCTTACAGATAACACAGAAAGACGTCTTTTTTAAATCTAAGTTGGACTCACAATTTGGTTTGCCCAAGTTTTTTTGTTGCACACTGGATGGAGAGGATATCTGCTGTGACCTCATAGTGGTGTCTGGTGTAGTTGACTGTGGTTGACCAACAGGGCTGGATGATCTTGTTGAGAAAGGCTGTTGATGGAGGTGACTTGAAGTATCAGCTTCCGGTGTTGGCTGCTGACTTGTAGAAGAACCACCTGACAATGACTGCTCTGTTTTAGGAGTAGTAGTCCACTTCTCAACTGATTTTTCCAGTGCTCTCAAGAAGTCCCTATGCGAGAGTCCATTCCTCAGGATTCTGGTAGACCTTTGAAAATATGAAACAACGATGATAGTGGCCTGAGTCGCACGTTGAAATTCGACAAGGTTTTGTATGAAATGGTCTGGTTGGATTAGGTCTCTTACGCAACCCATCGGAGAACACACAAGAGTCTTAAGTCCACTTGATTTGAATTGTTCCGTCAGCTGTATAAATGCATTGTCATACTCCAGCCTCGATGGTTTTCCCCAATACACTTCCTTTGTCACCAGACTGAAGATTGTTGCTCCATTATCACATTGTTTAGTCAATCTGTCAGAAATGTAGTCATTTGACTGAGGTCTTCCAAATTTATTTCTGAAGGTAACAGCAACTCCAGCAGACATATGTTTGGGATCTGCAAAATCCCCAGAAATGGTGTGGGCAAAACCCACTGACCGGTCATCCCTCATTTTGTCTATCATGATTCTCATGTTTGTTTCAACAATATTAATTTTCTTGTTGTCAAAATTCAGAGTAGACTTCTCTTCTGCTGCTTCGTTGGCTCTAACTATCTTTTTAAACTTTTCAGCCAGCTTGATTTTACCCCTGTTGCTGAAGTGCAGTCCATGAGATGTAAATAGGTGTCGGGGTAAAAGATGAAGGGGCAGTAGGGAAACATTTGAGTGCAAAGCCACAATGTCCTCCAAATCTTTATTAATTTTTCCAATTTTAACGTCCAGTTCTGGCTTGTCATGTCTCCATGGCAGGGAAGCAATCATTAAATTCGTATGATTAGATATCTCAATGACATTTTTCACTTTATTTAGAAGCTCAGGGTTATGGGATTCCACGTCATTAGTGCCTCCAATGACCAAAAGATAATCCTCCTTTCCAAAGCCACTGATCCTCTCTCTCGCACATTCAACCACATTACTGAACGTAGCGTTTGGTTTCACAAAAGAGCAAACATTGAAATTAGTTCTTTGTTCAATGAGGTGGCCTAAGTTTCTTCCGTGGCTGTCTGCAAAAATGATGAGTTTTGACTTATTCGTTCGTGCTTTATTTTCACTGCTTTTTTGTTGTTGACAATTTGTTTTATCTTTTGGCCTACAAAAATTGCTTGATTGATTAGTGTCAGTATTTTCTTCATTACTTTTTTGTAGGACAGCAAAAGGGTTTTTACTTTCAAAACTAATCTCTTGATTATTGTTTTGAGCAACAACATGTTTACCAACCGTTTTCCACTGACTCGCTGCACCATGTTGTAGAGAAGGAAAACAATGAATACAATCAAATTTTGTATTCTTTAACTGTTGATAAACAAGCAAACATTATACTTAACATTTTACAATATTCTCCATAAGAAAAACATTGGAATTTTAACCCTAGGAATGATGTGACAGTTTTTTATTATGTGGTTTGTGGAGTGGCATACTTATTTTGGTGAGCAACAACTCCAGTCAATGATGATGTCTGCACAGCTGTGGAAGTTTTTAATGATTTTGCCGCAATCGCTGACGACAGTGACGTCTATGTTACTGCAGAAGTCGATGATGACGTCTACACGGCCGCAGGAAATGTTAGTGATCATGTCCACGATTGCGGACGATGACGTTTCCATGACCGCGGATGTCAATGATGATGTCTACATGGCCGCAGAAGATTTTCATGATTTTGCCAAGGGGAAAAGTTTGTTTTAATACTTAAAGGGGCCGATTTGCTTGGGACAAACATGAGAATTTCTGTTTAATGATGACCTTAAATATATTACTTTAGGATGTAACGAATCCTTAAACTTTTTAAGTGGAGTATTCATTGAGGCGTGGTTAATGTGTCATCCTTATTTTGATTCTAGATTTTAAAACACAAAAAGAAAAAAAAAACGACTGAGATAATAAAACTTGCTATCACTTTTTCTTCCCTATTTTTCAAATTAAAAAAAGGAAAAATTATAGGTATGAAGAACTTACTAAATTAGCATTCTAAAAATAACCATAATAATATAAGGTAATACCTAAAGAGGCTGGTTTGTTCAGCAGCTTGGTGGAATGTGGACTAGACTTGACAGTGTCAGACTGACTTCTGTAGAACTTAGCTGTGACAGCTGTGACGGCCCATCCAGCCCAGGTAGCTGCAGCATTGGACAGACTAGGAGTAGCGGCATGGACGTCAGCCTCTGGGCAACACAAGGAAGAGGATTACAAAATATTAAAACACACACTTTCTTCCTGATTAAGGCCTTAAATGACAATAAATAATTGATAAAGTAAAAACACAACTACTGTAACTAAAATATAAAATAAAGCGATACTCCTCCACTTAACCACAGGTTTCCGATCGCACTGAGACTAGAACGTAAATGGTGGAAGAGAAGTATACAGGTGATGGAAAACTGTGTTCACAATTTCACTGACTCAAGCAAGAAGGGTCATATAATACTGAAGTTTAGATAATCGAGACATTACTGTAGAGACATGCCAAAGAGCCCTAACTTCCATGCTGTCACTATTTTATGATGGTTTTAGACTCCAAACTGTAAAGTATTGTCAGTATCTTTCATTGGTCTAGGCCCTACAGGACAGAATGAGAATAAGAGATGTGGCAGAAGTGCCACATGAAGTGATTGGCTAGTCAAAATTCATGCAGCTGGTTAGCCTTTTTACTTTTACTAGAGGTCGTCCAGTGGTCGGAAACTCAACCAAAAATATGTAATGTACAGACTCCACACTTTAAATAAAATATGTGAAATGCATTTCTTCCATTTGTTTTGATTTTCTGTTTATATTTTGTTGTCATTTCCTCACCAGCATGGCAACCCACAAGGCCCATATTAATTTTTTTTAATTTAAAATTCATTTGTTTATTTATTTTTAAACCTATTTTAATTTATAAAGGGATTCTGCACATCTACAGGAAAATATCTTTCAAACAATATGTGTAGATTTTCCCTGCGATGTACACTAGCTAAAAAAAAAAGGTATAAAGAAACATGCTGGCCTATTAATATATATAGATTCTATATTCTACTAGTCATCTCAGTAATTTTTCTTTTGTTTGTATTATTAGTTACTTTTTAAGTTCTACTGAGTAAAAACAAAGTAAAATTGTTTAGCTTTAGCCAGGGGCGGCGGAAACAAATTTTTGTTAGGGGGTCAGAAACCTATGGTGGAGGTCCACAATGGGGGGGGGGGTCTGGGGGGTATGGAATACCCCCCAGGGGGTAAGGGGGGTCCGGGAAAATTTTGAAAAATAAAAGCCTTAAAACGTGTTTTTAGGCTACCTGAAGAACATTTTTCTTCAAGCAGTAACAAAGAAAATTTACAATTTAACAAAGACGCTACTCTGTTCATTGTAAAAACATTATAATAAATAATACACATACATCTCAAACAAACATAAAATGAAGTACTGGTGCCCAGATTTTACTAAAGCTGCCAGCAATGAGTTGCTGCAGACGACAGAGAAGAGTAAATTTTACAATTATATTTATGAATCACTCAGTAACGGTAAATTTCGATGCAACATTACTGAAAGTTATGTTTTGCTTCTCACTCTCAGAGTATTCCAAAGACATCTAATGTTTCAATCCATGTTTACAAGCTCTAGGCCCTAGGGATTTATGTGTTCGCGTAATTTCAGCAGGCTCTGCCCCTCCCCCTCAAAACTGAATTAATAATAAGTTAAATTAAAATTGGCTGCTTGATTATAGTTAATCACAAAAGTAAGACGGTAGGGTTTAACCAAGTAAGTGTGTCCACTGGGGATAAATAATGGTTTACACAAAAAACATTACAAACATTGTATTGGCACAACATAAAATTACTAAGAAATACAAAACCTTTTTGATGAATTATTGCTAAAATAAGTAAAATCCCACACGAGAATCTCAAGATATTAGCCTACTACAAGTTTACTAGATTTTTAAACTTATGCTGATGAAACTTCAGTAGGCCCTAACTTGAACTTCAGTCTTTGAAATTCCCGAAAACTGCACAGCGACTTTCAACTCTATTGACAAACATTCTTGCAATGTGCTTATCATCAATAGATTTTGCAATGTCCCTATGGACGGATAAGATGGCAAGATGGTTCAATCTCTTCTGCGTCATCGTGGAACGCAGCCACGTTTTCAAGCGACGAAGACAAGAAAAGGTTCTTTCTGCAGTTGCTGCAGACGCTGGTAAGACAAGCAGTAACTTGACAACCTTTACTACTTCAGACAAAAATTGTTTGTTTTCTTGAGGCTCACTATTTAAAGTCACAACTAAATCACGTACACTTTTAACTTCCTTCTTTTTTGGTAAATCTTGTAGACTGTTTAATTGGCTTGTAAGCTTTTTCTTGTCCAAGTCAGTTCTAAAATGGTCACATATATTGTCCACTTCAATTTTTACTTCTTCTGTCTTCCCGTTTACTGCTTTCATTAAAACAGTTTCAATGTCTCTGTATATTTTGCCTCCGGGATGTTGAAATCTATAATCAACGTCTGACTTTAAGTTGTCCAAAACGTCGAAGTACTGTTTCCTCAAATAAGTCTCTGGACCGGAGAACGTCACTGGTGGGGAAGCATCACTTTTCTGTTCTAGTCGTTTTGGAGGCGCTCGAACACGTGGAAGAGTGACCGGGAGTAAATCCATATCTGAACCTCGTTTCTTCACTTTCTCCCATAGTTCGTTAAACTTCTCATCGGTTCTCAACTTTGTTAAACGTTGTTTAACTCTGTCAACTTGGGCGAAGGCATAGGTTATACTAATGTCACTTATTTGCAGTTTTTTAGCAAGCTCGTCTGTTATTTCAAAAATCAAAACACCGAGTTCTAAATGAAACAGTGTGAGAGTTTTCTCAAAAAATGAATGTAAACCATTGGCAGTAGGATCAGGATCTTCAGTTTTGATGCTTTCCAAAGCACTTAGAACAGTCTCATATTGTGAGTTAACAGCTTGTAGAGACTTCAGTCTCACTGTCCATCTTGTAGGACAGAGGTTTTAGCTTAGTATTTTTAGTCAAGGCAAGATTGTCATCTGATTTATGGTGAAGCATGATATCTGTCCTTTTAGCAGATTTATTGAAATACTTGCCAAGTTCATGTACATTTTGTAGAACATTTCCGAATTCAGGTACAGCCCCAGTAGCATCGATAACAGCTAAATTCAACGCATGATTGAAGCAGTGTATGTATGAACCTGAGTACCTTTCATGTGGCCCTTCATATTTCCAGCCCCATCATAACACTGTCCACGACAGTTGTCTATGTTCAGGTCTAGCCTCAACAGTACATCTTGTATTATTTTGGTCAGAGTTTCCCCAGTTGTCGAAGATGTCTCATATAAACCAATAAAGTCTTCAGAAACCTCAAAGTCACCATTGACATGTCTTATACATAAGGAAACTTGTTCTTTTGTCGACACATCTGTTGTCCCATCTACTATTAAGGAAAAATATTCATCTTCTTTTATGCTATTATTGAGTTTCCGCATCACCTCTAAGGCCAAGAGCTCCAGGATTTCATTCTGGTTGTCATGAGTAAGCCACGCTCTTTTTCGTTGAAGCCATTCTTTCAGTTCGGGAATGTCATTTGCTCTCAACTGCAAAAGTTCATAGAAGTTTCCTTCATTGTCTCCGTGACCTCTTAGTGCCATGGTACGGCTGGCTAAATACTTAATTGAAGATACAATGCTAATAAGGGCTTTTTGTGCAGCTATCATCTGATTATTTATTTGATTAGACAACTGTGCCGTAATGGGAGTTTGGTTGAAGGACATTATGGATGCAACTGACGCTTTATGGCATTCACTGCTTTCATGAGAAGAAAACTTCTCAGAAGCTTTTTTCCAATTTGAAAATCCACTGATAATGAATGTTTCGTCTACTTTCGTTTTGGATATAACCTTTAGGTTAAGCTTCTTTGCTTTCATACAAACAAAGCATTTTACTGATTCAGATTCAGAATTCCAGTGTAACCACGACCATTTTTTATACCACTCTGGTTTAAACGATCGATTTACTCCACTTATAACTTTCGTTGGGTATTTAATAGTCAAGGGTTGAAATGGTTCATTACCTTCATCTCTTTCAAACGTAGATTGTGTTGAAGTTGAAGCTGGAGCAGAGTCACTGGCTCTAGGACTAACACTAACACTCGGGCTACTTTGCACCACAGTATCACACTGTTTTTCACCACAGCCATTTTCACTTAACGATGTGTCAACCTTAGTTTTCTTATTAAAATAGTTCGTGATTTTCTGTCTCTTCATTGCTGCAGATAAATTGTAAAATTGAAGAACAAACCACTCATGACATCATAAAAACATCACTTACACCGATAGAACTGACAGCGACAAGGTCCCGTTTTAGGAGGTGTGTTGCGCAACCTCCCTGCGCATACGGCATGAAGAGTTGCCAACTATCCAGGAGTAAAATATCGTACTACTCCATAATTATCATATTTTAGGCGAAAATACCGTACTTTGACTATGACGAATACTCAGTGCGAAATTCAAGTGTTACCTGTTAGTTAACTCTCCAAAATTCCAATACGATCATGAACATCAATTAAATTAATTATTACGTTTATAAGGTTTTGTGAGTATTAAGCCCCTTCATAATAAATGTAATAGATTATTATTAATAACTAAATTGTTTATCTTTGTACTTATCTTCAGTAACTGTTATTAGGCCTACTTATACTTTTCTTCTTGGGCCGAAAAAATAAACGTATACAGTACGGAATGCTTTATATCTTTAAATTTTTTATATGAACCCCTGACCCTTGACCCCCCTGACCCCCTGGTTCCGCCGCCACTGGCTTTAGCTGCATATGATTTAAATATAAACTAGTCCAGTGGTCGAAAACTCGACCAAAAATATTTAATGTACACGCATTGACTATTGGATACTGAAGTACATCCCATCTATATGGACCAGCTGTCGTAATTTTTTTATTATAAAACATTGTAATTGTGTGAGCCATACAGAATGCGTGTCTAAAATTCTAATTTCTACCTTATTTATTGTTGATGATAAAGTGGATGGGTCATAACAGTTGCTATAGCTCATAATAAGTCATTCCAAAAGTTGACTTTAAAAAAACATTGTTTATTCGACAGAAATTAGTAATTTAGATCAGCGCAATCTGGTGGTGGCTCACATCAACTAGGTACAAAGAATTTAATTTAAAAACTGGTAACAACTTTGACATGGGATGGAATGGCTATAGTAGTAGCTTTGACTATGGTAGTAGTAAGTCAAAGGTACAGACTTCTCTATTTTCACCCCAAGCTGTAAATAAAACATGTGATTGGAATTTCTTCCATTTGTTTTGATTTTATGTTTATTTTTCGTTGTTATTTCGTCACCAGCATGGCAACCCATAAGAGCCATGTTAATATTTTAAAATTTCGAATTCAATTTTTGTTCTTATTTTTGAGCCTATTTTAATTTATAAAATGATTCTGCACACCTACAGAAAAATATCTCTCTAACAGTATGCGTAGATTTTCCCTACGATGCACACGAGCTGAGAAAAAAGGTTTTAAAGAAACATGCTTGCCTATTAATATATAGAAGATTATAAACATTTACATCTATTTTATGGAGTCCAAAAAATATTTTAAAAAAATGTGTATTCTAAAAAAGCATTTGATATAGAGGCTATGACAAATGAAGAAAAAATGTTGAACTTATAATAATAGTTACCCATGGATTCACGGAGATTTGGATCCTCTGAAACTTTTTCCAATTTACCGAGGAATCCTTTGATAGTACGAAAGACATTGTCACGCACAGTCTTCTCAGTATCAGTGGTGAGATGGCACAAAGCAGGTAGTATCCTAGTGGCTACTTCAGACAACAAGAAGTATTGCTGAGTAGCAGCCAAGGCCAATACACCTGAACATTGAACAACGTCAATATAGACTCTGTACTCTAGACTGTATATACAAGTCATTAAACAGTTTAGTTTGTACTTTCCCCACATAGTAGTATATGGAGAAAGTATTGTTTCCGTATAAATGTTTGAGTTTTGAATGAAATGATTGCAGCCATATAATAGATAGCGGGATGTATATCTATATATATATATATATATGAATTTGAACGGAGGATGTTTGTGGCCTCTGTGGACCTCAAAACAAAAAAGTAAATCGGTCCCGGGTCTAGGTCTTACCATGAGACCTACGGTAATAGCTTATTCCCTCTATGGGAAATTCGCTAAAAATGAGAAAAACCCATTTTTATCCCAAAAAAACCCCATTAAACCCCCTTCCCATGGTCCGATCATACTGGTTCACGAACTCATTCAAGTTTATCCCGCCTTACACTTTCAAAACAAATTTTATCAAAATCGGACAAACATTACACAAGTAATCGTCTTTACGGACATATATATATATATATACATATATATATATATATAGATAATACATATATACATATTTGAAGAATAGCGTTTTTGGCCTCTGGGGACATCAAAATGATAAAGTAAATCGGTCCCGGGCCTAGGTCTTACCATGAGACCTACGGTAATAGCTCCTTCCCTATAGGGAAATTCGCTAAAAGTAGGCTTACTAAGACTGTATCATTCAGAAACACATGTGTGGCAAGGTTGAATGATTTGAATAATTGTTTGTCGGAAATTTATTGGATTAACTTACTTTCAGACCTTAAGGGGACTGGAGATCAAACGTTTCAAACCTTTTTTGACAATTTTTGTGATGCCTTCAACTATTGCTGACCTATGAAAACTCTTACAAAGAAAGCAGAGTTCAAATCAAACTGAACATTCATTGATACACTCCTGAATTGAAGGCCATGAAAAATACTGTCATGGCTTATCAAACAGTATAGAATTCATTAAAAACCAATCAAGCTCTATTATCCTACAACATTTTTAAGAAAATTTTACAAAAATGCAGTGAAACAAGCTAAAATGGTTGCTAATATGAAATTTATAGAAAATTCCAACAATAAATGTCAGGCAGCATGGTCCCTAATTCGTAAATTTACATAATCATTAATGTCAAGGGAGCACACTGGTATTTCGGCTGAGCAACCAACAGATATTTCATCGAGTCGGTGCAGGCAGCCAAGGCGACCATCCCACCATCTATGGTGTCTTCTGCGGATCTGCTACATAACACAGAGTTCCATCAAAGAAGTTCATTGAACGAGTGGGATCCAGTGTCTGAAGATTATGTGATCAGTGCTGTTTTATGTGTCCAAGTTAAAATCATCAAAAAGTAAAGATGCCAATGGTTTGTCCAACACAGTTCTCAAGTCAGTAAACAGTGCAATTCTGTCACCACTCACAATCCGTATCAACCTTTGTCTAAAAGAGGGTTTTATACAAAATCTCCAAAATGTTCGAGGGTTGTCCCAGTCTTCAAAAAGGGGAAGAAATCAGATGTGAGTAATTACCGTCCCGTATCTTTAGTATTTTTGTTTGGAAAGATTATTGAATGTGTTGTTTATGATCAAATGTGTTCCTTTGTAGCAAATAATCAAATTATAAGTGAAACTCAGTTTGGTTTTCGGAAAAAAATTTTCAATTTTAGATGCTATAGACTCAATGTTGTCCAGAGTGAAAGGCATTTGAGGACAAGTGCATTGCTCAGATCACTTGTGTGATCTGAGCAAGACTTTTGATTTAATTTATCACGAGCTGTTCAGGGTGTCTACTACATTCTGGATAAAAAATTCATGGACAATTCCCGTACATTTAAGGACACTTTGCCGTAACCTTTGTCGGTGTCATTAGGCCTACCGAATAAGTTTCCTGATTTGTCAAACTGTATTAATCTTGTTATTCACTGTAGTTGTACCAGAGAGAAAAGTAATAATAGATAAGAGTTAAAAATTACAAAATAGAAATTTATTGAAAGTAAACAAACATAGGCCTACCTATACTTTAGGTAAAGCTTTTATAGTGTAACAGATAAACGCAATCATTGTCTCCTGCGATAGCGACAAATATCTCCATCCGTCACGTAAACTTCATAACATAGCTTATCCGATCCAGGCGGATTAATTTGGCATGATTCGCCCTGGCACAACGTTAGGTTCTCGACTACTTTTGAAAAAAAATCTTTAATGCATATTGTTACTCAATTCTTAGTACAAAATCAAGGTATGGTAAGCGGCTATTAATAAGCAATAAGCACAGAGTAAGATTATTGTATTTTCATTTGTAAAGTTAATGTCCACACATAGCAATCATTAGTTGTTTATCTTATAGGCTCAATTACATTTTCTTAATATATTTTACAGCTCTTTCAAGAATCAAAATACCCAGGCCTAGACCTAATTATTTAGGAGGGCCTATATAAACTGAGTAACAAACAATGAGGTTATAATAGCAGCAAAGTTACTATCATCATTCTAGTTCACATAAGATTTTGATTGCTTAAAGCATACAACTCAATAAATAAATATATGGGAAACAAAAAACATTGAAACCTGAATAGCCAACAATATAAGACAAAGATACAGAAAATGCAATGACATAATTTGAAACAAAGCAGGCCTACATAGTGATAAAACATTAATGCAAACAACAATGCTTGTGGTTGTCAATTGAAAGATAAAATGTCCATAAAAAAGGGGTTGACTTACAAAATAAGACTGTAGATTATTTACATGTTTAATATGAAACCATAAACAGTTTTATGGCACTAGGCACTGGCCTCGGCAAATTGAATCTTCAAGCCGAAAGTACAAGAAGTGAAATTTAACAGCCATTATAAAGCTATTATTTTCACGATGAAATAGGTTTGGGATCTAATAATAATTACCCTAGTAATAAAAAAAGAAGTTGTAAAGGAATAAAAGTGATACAACTTTTATGAGCTAGCTGCTGAGTCAACAGTTCTTGGAAGTACTTGACTTGACACTTGATTGTCGTGTGATAAAATATTAATGGGTTTGAGATTGTTAATGGGATTTTTATTGCATAATTACTCTAGTAATAAATTATGAAAATGTAAACAAACATCTGATAAACATTTTATGTGCTCCTAACCAACTAGCGATCAATAAAATTATGGCCCATTAAAAATTTAAGGACATTGTCTGGCATTTAAGGACAATTCCTGTACATTTCATGGCCAGTAAAAATTTAAGTACAATTCCCGGTTTTCCCGGATTTCCCGGTTGGTAGACACCCTGGCTGTTGGCCCGTCCTACGTATGGGAATTGAGTGTTCAACTAAAAACTGAAGTTATATCAATATGTCCATTTCTAATCCAAGCAAAGTTCAAGTGGTTAAACATTTACTGAAAACAAAAAGCTGCAAAGATGAATTAAAACATGTAAACAATGTTTTTTTTCTATTTTTTCCCTCAAACAGTCGAACAGACAAATAATTTGCATAAGCTTTCCTTTGAAAACACTTTGTATACATCAGTGGTTATAGAATCTTACTTATTTCCTATAATCAATGGCAAAATCACAGAATAATAAACTAACCTGATAGTTCTAAAGAATATTTTTATATTCAACCAGCTGTTAGAACAAATTATATTGCACTAAAACAAACATAAAATTTTAGAGATTGCTTTAAAAAATAAATTAGAATATCTAGCATTTTACCATGTATATTTAAACAGTTTGTCATCCTCTTTCCTAATAAATTAACGTATCAATGAGTATAGCATTACACATAGTATAAATAAGTCAACCTATTGCATGTCATTATTATCCAAATGCTGAATTTGTGTCACACTTGCTTAATGTTTACAGCTGTTGAGCTTTTCACGTCGAGCAAATGGTTTTATACCAAAAGCTAGTGTGTAGAATGTTAGGGTCGGCTGCTAGACTTTTTAAAATTGTAAACTTAATTTCTAAAATACTGGAACCCTAAACTAAAATTATGGCTTCGACATTCCCTAGTTCTCAAAATTATCTTTCTTTCAACACAAAAATCAAGAAAATCCGTCAAGTGGTTGATTTAGAATCGTGAAATAAAAAAACCCTGTCACGTTTTAATATATAAGATTATATTCTATTAAGTAAACTTATTACGGTGTTCAAAGTTTGACTTTGAAATTTTTTCAATCCTATTTGTGTGAAAGGACACAGTTTGTCGATGCAGAGGGTGAGCGATCAACCTGCGTGGAAGTGAAAACAGGTGTGCCTCAGGGCTCGATTTTGGGCTTATTATTGTTTCTTTTATCAATAAATGACTACCAGCTAATGTATCACTTTCCTCAACAACTATGTTTGCTGATGATACATCTTTTCTTAGTGTAGGTGTTAATATTCATTTTTTGGGGTATTCATATAAACAAAAATCTTGACTGGCTTCCTCACATTGACAAACTACGGAAAAAACTTTCTTCAGCAATTTTTTCTCTCAAAACAATTTCTCAAGTTACAAATCTACTAAAACTCAATTAACAGTTTATCATTCATATTTTTCATCTTTAATGTCATACGGAATGATTGTCTGGGGAAATTCTTGCCATGGTAAGAAGATTTTTAGGCTTCAAAAGAAAGCACTTAAAATCATAGCTAAAGTACCCCGAAGAAGTCCATACAAAGTCATCTTTCAGGCTTTTAGCATTTTGACATTTTATGACCTGTATATTTTAGAAGCATTATTTTGGGTAATCAACAGTTTGTCCATTTTCAGGGAGGGTCACACAAACCATAGTTATAACACTACACATAAGAACCTAACTAAGCCCACTAGCCATAGATTATCGCTATTTGAAGCATCACCTTAATATATTGGTCCAAAATTGTATAACTTGAATCCTGATCATTTAAAAAACATCGCAAATCCAAAAAAGTTGAAACAAAAATGTAAAGACTGGTTATTGACTAAAACATTTTATTCTTTAAATGAATTTTTAAGTGGAAATTGGGATTGTTAAGTGTTATAATTATTTCCT